GACTTTTATAGTTTTAATAATTATTATAAAAATATAATAGTTTATAATGGAATCAAAGTTCGTATTTGTCTTAATTTAGTTTCACTATTCATGACATGTTTAAGGTACATAAATCTCGTTATAGGTATATTATTTAACTGTTAATGGTTTACATTGTGAATTGTGAGTAAACAAAGTTTCATATTATCCCATATTTGGGGTTATTTTGGTAATTAATGAGTAATTGTATAAATAATCTTGAAATTAAATTTTCTCATAACAGACTTTCAGCTCGACTTAAAAAAATGTTTCTTAGTTGACGTATGGTATGTTTATTAATTACCTGAACAGTCAATAGGCAGAGCTTAACTTTACCTGTAGTAAACATATTTTAGTATTCGTATACATCATCGGTTGAGCCCTATATTGTTCTAGGTTCGGGTCGTGACACCCATTTTGCTTTCTCCTTATCATACAATACTATTCAATGTTTGGCTTTCTCTCACATATGAGTATTTATATGACCCATGGTCATGAACAGATATAGGTTTACGGTATATGTAAGTGTTGTCATGGTTCATTTGTTTTCTGTTTGTTGATGAGAAATCAGTCCTTAGTCTATGCATATGGTCAGCATGGATTTAATAATTGACTTATCTATGTTTACTCCATTATTTATTATGAATAAGTACGCAATAAAAACCTATATTATCACAATTTTAAACATATGTTTAGAATGTACTGAATGTTCTTATAAATTATTATATTTCTTTTTTAATTATTAATTGATATGTTCATTACATTATTTTTATACCTATTTACAATTATTTCCTAACTCAATTCCAAACTTACAAGTAGTTGCATTACTGCTTATTAGTTGTATGAGTGTTGTATGAGTGTTTTAGACTCTAAATCGATCGTTTTAGAAGTTACAATAATAAAAAATGTAGGTATTTTCCTTTTTAATAACAAGTGAATTTGTTCAATACTCCAATGTATAAAATCTAAATTCTAAACATTAATAAAGTTGTGATCTACATTATTAATGATACCTTATTTTATACAATACCATATGGCATATACCATATACCTACAACAATAATGTATCTTATAAAACAACTTTCAATTCATTTATGTATATTAAAAAAACTGAATATTAAATTGCTAATTAATTATTTTGTTTAATACTGTGTTGTTACTTTAAACATCGCTCAACGCTTTTCGAAGATTTCATATTTTCGTCGAGGTATAAAATGTATTTTATTAATGTTTCAAATTATAATATTTTATAAATATAATTAATTTTTATAGAAATTCTAAGATAATTAACTTAATTAAGACCATAATATAAAATATGTATAGATACACAATGCATATTTACTATTTAGATTTTACAGATAGCAATAGGATAACCTATTATTTGTTTTAAAGTTGCTCATGCCCCATCCTAAATATTATAAATTGTAGTTTATAATATTTTATTTTATATTTTATTATTTAATCACTGTTTATTACATATTATTAATAATATATTAATATAAAAATAAAAAATATTATTTATTGGTATTTTATTTTCGAAACTTGAACTTAACAAAATGTTGACTTAAAACGTGTTAGATTGATAAAAATCAATATACCTAGGTAAAATAAAAACGAGAAGTCTCTCTGCATTTCTGACTGAGTCAGCAGTATAATAGGTGTTAAATGTCCACCATCATTGAGTAAGATCACTGTGATGAATATGTTAACTTAAAATTGAATTCAATGCTAAATCATTATATATTTATATGTACATGAAAAATGGTTCCAAACAGGCACAGTCTATAACCTATATTTCTAAGGATATTTAATTATATATTTATACAATTATATTTCCCTTGGTAATTTATTTTTCTGTAAGTTATAGGTACAGTAGGTTGAACTAATTTTTTTGTTGTATGAACAAAATCATTTGAGGATAAATTGTTGGAATATCCAACTTCGTCAAAATTATAAAAATTAATGAGACTTAACGGTGAACTTTTTCTATTCAAGCCTTTAACTTAACCTATAAGAAAAACGCTGTGTTAACATTATAGACGATATTAACATTTATAGAAAGAAAGTCAAAAAATAAAAAAATTCAAAATATTTTTATAACTATACGTCTATACCATGTCTAAGAAGTGCAATTATAAATATTTAATAAAAATGTCAGGTATCTATGGTTTGATTTTTAATTACAAAAAATAAAAAAGGTAGGTACTTACTATAATAATTATTAATTCAACTTTTCGGTACTTTGAATTAGACAAATTTTATTAAGTACCTACGTACGTTGTCATCCTACAAATAGTTAAACAAATATTTTAATTTTTATAGTTTGCTGTCAAAATAATATTAAAAATTATACGTTTGGCCAATGATTGACCCAGTTTCAATGATTTAGATTTTATACAGAATATTGTATTACGTAATTTTGTTTTATAATGTAATTTATGCATGCAACTAAATCATAGATAATAAATCATGTATTTGAAATGTTAGGTTGAGATAGGTCATATACGTATATTGTATAACCATATAGGTATCTAAAAACAGGTTCAAAATATTTCCTCGAACTGTTATTGAACTTTTAGTATTATATATTATATCGCCCTGCGGGTCCCATGACACACAGAATGTTGCCCAACATTGGCAACACTACGCTATAATACCTATATTATATCTCTACGGAAACGTTTCTTATATGTACCTATATATAATATATATATTATACTATATAGGTACATGTGAAATAATATAGGCTCAGATAACTAGTTTTAAAAATATAAAAACCCGTTCTGGATATGTAAGGAAATTGTGAAAGTAGTTTGTCGCCTTTACTATAAACTTTATGATCTTATATTATATTCTTAAAACTGTCGCTTTCATTCGAATGTATTTAATGATTAACTTACACTCGTGGGTCATGACCCTGTGCTGCACACCAATGAGAGGTATTAACTAAACATTTAGTCAACAATATTTCGTTTTTAAATATATGCATGATCATTGGTGAACTATTGTTCCTATAGTGGTGAGCCCAGTGGGCTTACTCTATTTTACGAATTACGTATTGAGGGAAAACTCAAAAATAATACTCTTGTTACATTTCAACGACATGTAAGATAAAACATATTATTAATGTTATATACCTACATTGATAATTATTTTTAACATATTGTATCTAGTTTTCCACCTTGGATTCTAATTGGATAATACATCATTAAAATATCCTATTAAAAACACTATCCTATTTGTATACGTGAGTTGAACGATTCAATGTGTGTTCCAACTACCAAGTAATAAAATGTAGTTAGGACTTTGTGCATTTGTCCTATGCGAATTTCTGAAGTATGATTGTAAATAGTCAATATAAAATTTGAATTGTCTGTATTGTATTATACACACAATACACATAATATTATATACTCATTGCATTAGATTTGTTAATACTTATAGTTCATCAGTATAATATTATAATACATAAAATTACATTTAAAAATCTTACTAATTTTATTTCAACATTATTATCCCTGCAACTTATAAAACATAAAGGCATAAGGCCATAATTTCCTAATTTTTGTATTTTTTTAATTTAATTTTTGTATTATTATTATCTTAAATTAACTGGGTAAAATATTTTGTCATACAAATATTTAGCTTAATTAAAATATATAGTAATAGATATATTGGGCACTTGCTTATATGGCTATAATGCTATATACTTTAATAGGTATAATTCGCACTCCTAGAACAAGACTGTCACAACTCAAAATTTATAGTTTTGAGAAAAATCAATTTGAAGTTTGGACTTAAGGTATTTTAATGAATTTTTTACTTATGCGTTTGAAATTTAACACTTAAATACTTACAACCATACTTTACAATATTAATTTTTCAAATATTTTGAAATTCACTCTTAAACCCAAAAATTTAGACTTGTGGCCATTTACAATTTTTTAAGTAAATGCAAGACTGCCATATTTTGAGATGCGACTATATGAGAATTTGGCGCAAAACGAAAAGCTATTCTATTTATAAATACAATAGAGTCATAATTCGTGTTGTGGCTGCACTATCACAAATTATAAAATGCAATACTGCCACAACTCTAAATATTGCTGTTTTGCACTCAACATATTACACGATAATTAGTTTTTATTCAGTGCAAGAACGCCACAAGTCGAAATAAGGCAGTCTTGAATTTTGACTTCAGTGATAATTTGGATAAATAAAAATAAGTATACTGCCATAAAGTAAATATGGCTCTCTTGCATTGAAAATTAACCAATATTTAAATAATTCAATACAGACACATCTCTATAGTGGCTAAATGAAAAATGATATTGAATGTGGCGTTCTTGCATTTAAAAGAGCTTATTTTTCTCTATCCAAAAGTAGTCATAACTCAAAATTCATGAATTTTGAGTTGTGGCAGTCTTGTTCTAGGAGTATTATAGGGCATAGGCTATATTGACTTTGACTATAATACTATATATATATTATAATATTATGTTTCTTGGCCTTTTAATTATATTAATAAAATCTCTTGGCCTCTTGCAATAGGTTATGAGCTTGGGTTATTGTGAGTTATGACTAACACGTTAAGAATATAAATTCTATAATGTGTAATAGTTAACTTAGTCATAGTCATATTTGTTTGCTTGAGTCTATTTGATTACATTATAGTAGGTACATATATAGTAAATTGGATTATTGTAGTTTAATACTACTCGTTCCTTCCATGAAAACAGAATATTATTTATAGCTTATAGTTATATATTTAATTGGTTGTACATTTTTTTTTTAATATTGCTAGTAACTAATATGGCCTAAAAGATGTACGTAGCTTAAAATTAATGCTGATGTAAAATGTATTATCCACGTAACAGTGTTATATAAATATCAGTTAGGTTCGGCATAATATAATATAATATAATAATACACTTACAAAACATGATTTATAAATTTAAAGTATAATTAATAATTTAATTTAGGCTTCAACAATTGACGGTCGACGAAAAGGAGCATGTCTATTTTGCCAAGAATATTTCATGGATCTATATCTACTTGCCGAGCTAAAAACCATCAGTCTTAAAGTCACTACAGTAGATATGCAAAAACCTCCTCCCGATTTCAGGTAATTTTATTTATTCTGGTGTTTAGTGTAACACTTTAAACATAAAAAACTTTGTATAATGAATAGTTTTGATTTATGAATTACAATTATTTCCAAGATTTCAGACAACTAAAGTTTATACAATTGTACCGTGAAGTAATTTGCACAGTGCTCTTGACTCTTCACAACTAAAATAAAAAGTTATACCTGTTACGTTTTCGAAACGCAATAGAGGAATAGTCGATATTGACCACTTATATTCAATTCATATTTTGTATATAAATATAATTGTATAGTAAAAAAAATATATATTATTTGTGGACTATTTAAATTGTTGTTTGTAGGACCTATTATTTGCAAATTTTTCAAAGATTTACTATTTTTTGCATCGTTTCCGTCATAACGTTTTGGACAGAAATTTGCTCCAAAATTAAATCAACAGCAGACCTAGTTTACCTATTTTTAATTAATATTTTAAAAAAAATAAATAAAACCTATAAATTGTTTTAAATTTTGCATGATAACAAAAATATTAGATGGATTGGGTCGATGTATACTTTTGTAATGCTTAACCAAAAAATACTCTAAATGGTGTTTCAAACATATTATTTGTTTGGTATTTTTTTTTTTTAAATCATTCTATTAAAATGTACAAAATTTTTGTTTTCAATCCAATGAAAAATAGTTGTTTTTAATGTGCTTACTAATGTATATTATTATTATATAAATATATAATACGTACTTTATGGATTATTGGTACTATACATACGTAGTACCAAGTATAATAAATAATAAAATATTTTTAAATAATAAGATTAAAAAAAAAATATAACAAAACTAAAAAACTTAAAGTAGGTATACTAAAATACTGTAGGAACTGTTTGATCGCGCATTTTGTTGCTTTTTATTTATTATGTTATCTTTTGTTACTTTTTAGGAGTAACTTTGATGCAAATCCTCCACCGATTTTAATAGACAATGGAATGGCTGTTTTGGAAAATGAAAAAATCGAAAGACATATCATGAAGAACGTGCCAGGTGGATATAATCTATTTGTGCAGGATAAAGAAGTGGCCACGCTGATTGAAAACTTGTACAGTGTACGTTAAACTATAGATGGTCCTAAGTCATTAAATTACTTGGTACATATACATACCTAACGTAGTTCCTAAACATCAACCAATTCACTTTCCATTTTTTGTCATTTGTTATTCACCGGAAGCTTAGAAATGACTCGTGTGATAAAAAAAAGTAGTTTATCTGGTTTCTGTTTCTCCTTCTCGTGCTTCGTGTATCGCTAAATTGCAATTCCGCAAGGATAAGGATCGTAAATCTATGAAAACTATAATATAATGTTTACTATCATCTAACTACCATTATAAGATAGTATATTTTTATATTATATGTTTATGTATATTTAAGTTTTAAAAAATATTGTAAGTATACACACGTTTTAGGTTTTTAATATGAGGTCACAATAATATGTATAAAGTTATAAAATCGTTATGGCCAGTCTGGAATTGCGGATTATTTTTATTTTTGACTGATATTCGAGTTTTGGCATTTAAAATAGATTTTGGCATTGGTCTATACGCTTTATATTTGACATGATAATCAGCGTCTACATTGTTAGAATAATGAATCAATGAATGCCATTCAAAAAATTGTCCTGATGAGGAGACAAAAAACAATAAATTCTTATAAAAAAAATGTCACATGTACCTATTCCTATATAATCTAATTTGGTTCAAATATAATATTAATAATACACTATACAGCACATATATTATGTGTGAAAGGTAAAAAAAAAAACCAACATTTTAAATATTTTTTATTTGTGCCGTCTAAATATATTAGGCACTGATGTCCGTTGGATTTAGAATAAAATAATTAAAAGATTGTTTTTTGTAGTTTAAATTCCTATTATAAATGACATCGTGTGAATTCTTAGTACCTATCGATATGCGAAGGTTATAATATTTGCAAAATATCACGGGTAGCCTTTTAGCTAGAATACTTTACAAGGAAAATAAACTCTGCCTCTTGCCTGTGCTTGGCATGTGCAAGTGTTCCTTGTACGGCAAGCAGTCAACATGTAGTAAACATGTACATATGTTACTCAGTGAATTTTACTGTCAATAAAGTTCTTATCACCCCTCTCTCGCTCACTCGCGACTCGCTATGCGTCGATCATTCGCTTATGGCTGTAGAAATACTATTTCCCCACAAGTCACAACCTGTAGTTGTCCTGTTGTGAAGATTGTTTGAACAATGCGTCAATTATCTAGAATACCTGTATGACTTTGTTAAACTACAGCCCTCGATTTGTTTCGAAACGACATTAATTTTAGATTATGCATTCGTTCATTCCGACACACGAACCTACGTACTGTGCATACGCATACATAGTGTATGTGTGTGTGTGTGTGAGAGAGAGAGAGCTATGATGTTTAAAAAATGACGTTCGACCTAAATAGTAAATATCTTTGTTATTTCAACTTGTTCAAATATACTTCTCCCCTTTATGGGCCTCAATTATACAATTACATTTTAAACACAAAACTCAATTCTCAATTGTATTGGTATGATTTTTTTTTGTTCAAAATATTAAACCACAATTTGCCTAACTGATAAATTATTAGACAACGTTCGATGTGATATTATTATGTACTTGTTTTATCAAGATAAAATAATTTTTTGTTGGCGTATTAAAAGCTGCATTATAGGTACAATTTGACACCATTTATACGTTCACTAACCCTGTCATTTTTTTATGATGGGCAGTAATATGAATAAAACATATAGCGGAATAGCGCCAAACAAAAAAACAAAAATTCATCAATTATCAGCGTAGGTATATATCTCAATTTATTTTCAAACCGATATTTCAAGTTTAATATTATCTTGTAACAATAACAATACGTGTTTCTTTTTAAAACATTATATTCGCGCATATTACTACCTAAGTCATTTTTATTCCCATAAAACTGACATGGTATTTTTCTGAGTATTATATTGTTATTTTAATAACAATAATATGTTGAGCAAATTTGTCATAATATAAAGGAAATATGATAGTTGACAACTATTGCGTTTCCTAATATTGCAAACTATAGTATAATTGTATAAGTGCTTAACTACAAATTATAATTTGATTGTTACTAGATCCTAACAGTTAAAACAAATAATACTAATAATTTTAATTATGTTGATTTACGCAGGAAATCAATGTAATCCACGTTTATAGGTATATACAATTATCTAGTTTCTATTTTACACAGATTCGTTTATAATGATGCAACACCAACTATAAATTGTTTACTATTAATTAATGTATCTATTATATGCTATTTGGACTTATATACGTCAATTCATTAAAATATAGATACTTTTTTGTTCTGATTAGTTATAATTACGTTGTACCAATGCAGGTCTATTTTATGTTTCTATGTGAGCATACCTAAAATGTGGGTACTCGTCAAGCGTGCTTAATTTATAAGTAACATTAAAAGTATTAAATTTAATAATCAAATATAATATTTTATTGATAATTGTATACTAAATAAATATGAAACCCATTGCTATGACCTATTGAAAAAAATGAAGTACATAATAATAAAGTATAATTTATTTATTTATTTTTATTGATTTACGCCGTGACTGGCATTAGGTAATTTAAGTACAATATTTTTTTGGTAAAATTAAATATAACAAAAACAGATGAATATTATAGTAACAAAGAGAGAAAAAAAACTATAGTATAATATGTGAAAGACTAGCTGAGTTGAGGCTGCGTAACATTCTGTGGAGTGGGTGGTTGAATCCATAGAAAGTGCGATGGTACGGTAATTGAAAAAGGGAATGATTTCTAGTAGAGTGAGACAGAACACGGAACGAGATAGAAGAGAGCAATTCAGGAAAATCTAGAGATCCCTCAAGAAGTGAAGAGATGAAATGATGGTCAGCCCCTGCGCGGCGAGAGGCTAAAGAAAGGATTCGAAGATTAGAGGAAATGAATGAGTAATCATGTATGGGATGTTTAATTTTTAATTTGAAGGCAGCATAGGATAAAAATCTGTTTTGAACTCGCTCTAGTCTAAGTTCATCGCGTGCCAGGTATGGGTGCCATATCACTACTCCATATTCTAAAACGGAGCGAACTAAGGAGAAATACAGTATACGGAGACAAGAGCTAGATGTGAAGTTTAACAAATCCTAATATTTTGAGTGCTCTACCGATTATTTATAGTATTGATATGGTGGTCAAAAGAGAGCGTGGGCGTGAGATAGATACCTAGGTCTTTAGCAAGAAATATACGATTAAGAAGAGAACCATTATATTATAATAAAACACATACACATTTTAATATTTATTGGTGACCAGTGAGATACTGGGATAATATGTTTGTATATAATATGAAACAACTCTTATAAATAAAAATACAATTACATTATATTATATTTTTTACTAAAAATAAAATGTAATTCTAATGTAGGTATTTCAATTTAATATATACACTAAGGGTTGTCAAATGTTTAATGTGACTAAAGCCCAAATTAAACTTTTAATTTTTCAATGAAGGCTTCGATAACGAGTCATTAGCTTGTTACTGTGGGTGGTTGTGCGGTTGGTTTGGACACGCATATACGTGCCAAGGATTTGTCACTAAAAACCCGGGTGGTCAGTGGTCACCCATCCGGGAACTAGTGACACCGGCCGGTGCTTACACTCAGAACACGTTTCGTGACTAAATAAAAATACCAAACTACACCAAGCCACTTAAAATATTTGTTAATTCAAAAATAAAAAATAAATATTACGTATTACATAATAATATATATTCTACAATAAAAACTCCACGATATTTTTCGTAAACCTCTGTTTTTCCACTATATGGAAATGTTGAACATATATAATTAGTGAACTTCATTTGTTTTACCCCTTCACCGCTGTCTATAGATGCCTATTACAATTTGTTATTTAATGTGATTAGAATTCGATCGATTATTACAATTTTTCATTACAATATCGAGCAATTCTATAATATAACTTTTGCGATTTACAGAAACTGAAGCTGATGCTATTAAAAAAAGACGACGTAAGCATAAATAGTCTGTTGTCTCACTTGCGTAAGATAAATTTGCATTTAGAGAAGAAGAACACGCGGTTTCTGACTGGTGACACAATGTGCTGTTTTGACTGTGAATTGATGCCCCGTTTACAACACATCAGAGTAGCTGGTAAGTGGTAATAATTATAGTATAGTCGTATCTATACAATATAATATGTTTGTGCAGTGCCATTAAAGAGTCGACAATCTGCTCCTATTATTGTTTTCATTTTTGCTTTGGCACAATGATATGTAGGTACCAGTGAATTTACATTTGGGTAGAATATATATATTTTATAGGTTTACGTCTATACTTATTATATAATATAATGAGTGAGATACATAAAAAAAATACCAGTTTATAGGTGTACCTATACGTTCAGTAACTAGGGTTAGGATTTGTATACTTTATGTATTTGCATATTATTTTTGTAGTTTGATCGTATGGTATTGTATGCTAAGTAAGTACCTACGTATTGATAAATACGTAGGATACCGTAGCATACCGTAGTTCATACAAATTTCGAAATATCTTTGCATATTTTTACATTGTTTTTTTATTGTTTTGTAATTGCTACAATTCAAATATTGTTTTAATAACATAAATGTTATCTTATTTTTTATTTATACATATTAATATTAATTTGTTTGTCATTCACATACAACAAAAAAAACTCTTTCAAATAATTTGACTTAAATACTACGTAGGTATTTTTGTTATTGATATTTCACCTCATCTTTTATGCAATACCTAATTTTGTAGTTAATTTTGGAATATATCTATTGAGCGGCCAAGCCCTATCTGAATAGTAATTATAATATCTGTGTGATGCAGTACGGAATTTCGTAAACATAAAATAGGATCTGGTTGAGAAATAAATCGTATCTGCCAAACGTATAATAATTAAATAAATCGATGGCATTAATACAAAAATATCCCACATTTTTCCGTCTTCTGCACAGGTAAATACTTTATGGACTTTCAAATGCCGACCGACCTGAGGTACCTGTGGCGTTACATGCTGCACATGTACCAGCTGGACGCGTTCACCCAAAGCTGTCCAGCCGACCAAGACATCGTCAACCATTACAAACAACAGCAGGTCTGTAATAAAGTGCGACCTGCAGGCCGACATCCTAGTCCTTCTACACACTGTTTTTTTTATTTAGAATAAAGGCTTCAAAAACTGAGTCATTAGCCTACTTTTACATTATAATACTCAACTATATACTTAACATACATAATATTATAATAACATACATTATACATTTTTTACAGTTAATTGCATCACAGGTACCTATATCTTAATATTATAATTTGGTAAGGTGGGGAACTTTTTAATACTGGGTGATTCTTTTATCAAACAACACTCATTATTTCAAAAAGTGTACATTTTTTTGAAGATATTTTTTTACATAGTTTCAAGTCGCTTATAAAACAACGTTTTTATTAAAAAATTATTTTTTTAATTATTTTTTATCCTTATAATTTTTTAAGTTTTTTACTTTTTTGAATGACAACATAGGGTTTTAATTTTATATTCTAAAGTAGAATATTTTTCTTAGTATTTTGATACATGAAAATTGAATTTGGGGCGAGTAGTTTATGAGTTATAAGTATTTAAAGTTTAGACGAGCGGTGAAGTGGACAAACATTTCACGGGGTAACCCCGAACCACTCCACTCCGCTCGTCTAAACTTTAAATACTTATAACTCAAAAACTACTCAACCCAAATTCGATTTTCATGTATCAAAATACTAAGAAAAATATTTTGCTTTGGAATATAAAATTAAAACCCTATGTTGTTATTAAAAAAAGTAAAAAAACTTAAAAAATTATAAGGATAAAAAATATTAAGAAATATAATTTTTTAATAAAAACGTTGTTTTATAAGCGACTTGAAACTATGTAAAAAAATATTTTCAAAAAAATTTACACTTTTTGAAATAATGAGTGTTGTTTGATAAAAGAATCACCCAGTATATGTATATCTTCATAATATAAAAATTTGTACAAAATATTCGTATATAATATTATAAGTGGAATGGAAGTCTGCAAGGAAAATTGAGAACTCATATACATATTATCAATGTTTGTTGGTATAGTGCATAGTGAAAAATATCTAGAAGCATGCTAGGTATCATTTTGTCAGGAATTTAATTTTTAGATTCTGAGTGGAACGATGAATGTGTTGATTTTACAATGATGTGTGTTTTTTTGTGTCTGTGTACACGATAAGTAGTCGAAATAATGCTTCGATTTTCAACTTCAGTATCTTGTTCGATGGGAAAGAGAATATTGTTGGTGCATTGGGGAGGTCAAAATTTAAAATTCACAGTAATTGTTAAAAGCTCCTTGAAAAACAAAAGAAAAATTAAGTAAAAACGGGAATTTTTAACAAAATCTACTCTGATTTTTGGTGTAACTTTAAAACGAATGACTGTAAATACATGAAATTTCAACTGGTTGTTTATATTTGTATTTTCTATACACGATAAAATTTTCAAAACATTTTGATTTGTTTTGAACTGTTTAGGGACATTTTGAGTTTCCAATTTTATTAGTTTTTTTTTTTTCTATGAATGTCATTAAAACTTTATTTGTTGAGTAAAAATACTGGACAATTTAATACAAGGCTCCTACTACATTGTTACAATGACATTTTTAAAATATTAAAAATCATTAGTCACAGTTTTTTTTATAAGCATTTAAAGTTAAAAAATTGACAAAATATGGAAAAATCACGAAAATTAACAAATTATTTTAAGTTAAGAATTCGTAAAAATGTTTCTTTTTAAATCTAAGATTTTAAAATGAATACAAGATTCATTATAATCTTATCTACCTTTATCAGAAAAATAATGTCTATATATAAGAAAGTCAAATTAAATTTTTATGAGTGTTCAAACTTGTACAACATTGGATATTCACTCGATTTCTCATGTAGCGATTTTCTGATTTTGTTGTGATTCAAAAACGAATAACTGTAGACAGATATTTTTTGACTATTAACTTATAACACAATAAATCATGACGTATACATAATATTGTGTTCAAATTTATATTTTTATTTGATTTACAATCATTATTTTATACAATTAACAATTAATTATTATTTTCACTATAACATATAATTATAATTTGTTATAGGTACATGGTAATTACTACTTAGAAGTAGAGTATACATGTGTTCCCATTTATATTTATATTTCTGGGCTTTTTGTCCTTGGTGTGTTTATTTTTTTTGGGCTTTTTTCAGTTATATTTATTTTCTGGGCTATTTTCCACCTACCCATCAAAATACATCTGTTATAACTTCCGCACTTCAAAGTATTTTGAACCAAATAGTTTTCGAGATTATTTGTATGACGTAATACCTGCTTGAAAATATTTCGTTTTGAATTGTCTAAGAAATTTCGTGAAATCTGCGGAGCTATAATACTAAACACGCGTGTCTGTAAATGATAGCATCAAATCGGACGCTTTAGTATGAGCGCATGATACCGTATGATATTATAATTATATTATACTACATAACAATAATATATTAGACGTAATACCTAAAACCTAATAGCGATTTTAACGATCAACGATAAAATAATATGTAAAAATGTAAAATACCTATATTAAGTATATTATAATATTATTTAATCAGGCATATAATAAGTATAATATTATTATGCCGACTCGGAGGACTGGGACTACGCTTATACCGGTCGCCCCCTCTATAACTGCCGCTCGTTCATATTATACGATTTTTGATAGAATCTCATGTTACAGAATGTCAAGATGAAGAAACACGAGGAACTGGAGACGCCAACGTTCACCACGTCCATACCGGTGGAGCTCGACTTGCAGCAAGACGAATAGAGTGGCTGAAGTTATGGTAGTACCGTACATGCGATAATACCATCGCCTCCCGATCTATGTACGGCTATATATATATATATTATATTCAGTGATGTAACACGACGATTCTCCATCCTCGTCATCCGCAGCTCAGTACCTACACAATATATTATACGAATAAATACGCATATTACAGAATGTCACGATGACATCACCGCGTGCATTACAGACAACAACTTTTCCACATAATATTAGGTGTATAATGTGTACAATGTGTGTGTACTGTAGCTGCAGTACCTATATTAGAATAATATTATCAGTAGGTACATATTATAATATATCAGCGATTTATTTCTTCTTTCGGTTTTAATTTTTTTTTTCTTATTTTCTAATCTATATACAACATTACGAAATACTATAACCCTCGTGTACTCCTCTTGTTAATTTATTTGTAATAATATATATCTATATTATATTTTGTATTATGTATTGTACTATTTTTATTAATATTATACAACTAAACCGAGTTATAACTATTGAGTTATTATATTATGTATCATTGTATTAACCAACTATTTATAATATAATATATCATAATATACGTACATATAATATTATTGTCATGCCTATTTACATAAAAATATTATGTGAATTTCCATTGAAGTATATAATATTATATATTATGTAAAAAATTATATTTGTCTATAGTGCCTTGAGATTATTCTAGTTATAATATTTAATATTCAAAGTTGTATTTAGTATTATTTTTCGATCTACTGTAATAAACTTAATATTTATTTAAACCGGTCGTATACTTGATATTATTTCGCCCTACGACTGTTTTACAGACGACAGTTGTTACGTGTGGTATGTGTTGGTGTAATGAATTTATGAATCCACTTGTGCCTACAGTCGCAAGACGAAAACTATAGCATGCTGGTAAAACGATAAAATGTGAAGAAGATAATGTAGAAAAAATCATACTATACACAAGATTGGACTGCTATAAAAAGTCCCAGAAAAACCATCAGGGTCTTCAACTTTCAAGTCTCTACAAGATTATTATTTATAGGTTTCATCAATTTCGTATTTTAGCTTTTATTACCTATATGGCTATATTGCCTATATTATGTCTCGATCAGTTAACGCGTGCACCTATATCAGAAAATTGGAACCCAGTTCATTATTATAATTTATAACGTTGGTGTTTCGAAATGTATGAACGTATAACGTTTGAATGTAGAACGTGCTCTGTTATTGGTTTTATTTTCACTTTCAGTAGAATACAATTATTTGTTCGATATCATAATATACCTAATGTATTGTCTTGTATAAGACGTAGCCACGTAGGTTAATATTTTTAATTATTATACTTATTTATGAGTATATTATAGACGTATTTTCTCAGAAAAATAATTGCTTGAGGAAATCTTCGAGATTTGAGTCATTTGCCCTTCAGATCTATCCCCCCTCGAGACCATATTTGCACCATCAACATATTGGATACCCTTATTGCTGACTGAGGCGGTCACTTTCCCCTCTTTCCTTTATTAGCATTTGTTGAACTATGTCAAGACCCCCCCCCCCTTCTAAGAAATCTTAAAATCTTGTTCTCTAATATTAAGTTTAACTGTTACATTATAACAATCAGACGGGATTGTATTCGGGGATAGACGCCACAGACATTTAAAGTTTACCACGAGTCACGAAGAGTGAACAGAAACACGAAAAAAATGTCATACATCGGTGACACTTCAATTTAATTGTTTCAGTTCCATTCGTGTAGGTAGCAATATGGTTATGTCGTGTACATTATAACTTTACCACTTACCATACAGTGCAGTGGCGTCCGCAGGGGGCCTTAACGGGCTGAAGCCCCCCCCCATTGCCCGAATTATTATTACTTTTTCAAAAAAATATTAATCAAGTTTAAACTGTCAACTATGGTAAATTTCATATATGTCTTACCAGAATGAATTCATTTTTAAAAAAACATTGTATTTGCATACCAATTTTCATAAATTATCTGTAATTTTTCGGTAAATGTATGAACTAGTTAGTGAACTAGTAGCTACTTGTATGAAAGACCTTGTATTAAATTGTCTAGTCTTAGATATACATATTTTATATTTTATAAGTTTTAAACTACAAATTATATAGAAAAAAAATTTTAATTAATCAAATAGGTACAATCCAAGGTAAGACGGTATAACCAAGCTTGTTAACAAACAGTTTAAATAAATTTTCATTTTTTTTTCTCCAATTATTTTTAAAAGCACTAAGAATTTTCAATTTTGATCTCTTAAAAGTACTAACTAGATCCAATTTGCTTCCAAAAACATACACTGGGCATCGAAGCTTATGATCAGAGCATTTTTTCTACCAGAAGAGTTGAAAAGTTACAAACATTTTAAAATACCCCAAATAAATGTCTGCAATTATTAGACTGAACAAAATAAAAATTAAATTGTAACTAATTTTCAAGCCCCCCCCCCCATAGAAAAATCCTGCGGACGCCACTGATACAGTGAGTAGGTAACAGAAAGAAAGAACAATAATGACTAATGTAATTATATTATAGCCATTATTATCTACCTATCCGTCTAAATTTTTCAATTTGTCTTAAATTAAAATAATTAACGAGTAGGTATATTAAATTATGATACTATGCAAAAAAAATAATGTTTTGAGGGTGTCTAGCTAGCTCGCTATAAATGATTCATCAAAAAATGTGTTTAAGGCTGCTTTTTAACAATTATACCTAGTTTATACTATAAATTAAGTAGGTACCTATTATAAGCTAATTATAATTTGAAATTTTTAAGTAGGTATACTTTATTTTCGTTCTGTATTAATTGTATGTTGTTATCGGTGGATGGCCGGAGAACGTACAGGGTGACTACCATCAGACGCCTTAAAGTGCTCTTTCACGTACCAATCCCCTATGTCAGGCCGAAGAGGAGGGAATGGTGAACTGCGGTTCATTCCCCTCGGAAGCAGCCACACAGAAACAGTCGCCAGTCTCACTCCCTACCACGTACCGACCACGATCCACCTTGGCCGTCCACGCGGAGCTTTATGCCTTATTTCCAGTGGCGCTTCCAGGTCATTGAGCGCATTTCTTCGTTTAGGCCCTCGGCCGGCGTCTCCAACGTTTCTAGGCAATCTCACCCAAAAGGGTGCTCACGACGTTTTCGACATATTCTTTTTCGTTGTCGATAATGCATTCGTCAATCAACATGTCTATGACTTCCCTTGAATATGCATCGAGATCCTTGTTGGTGGCCATGGCCTATGGTTTATTTTTTACGGTATAGCAATACTAACAGAGGTATAGTATATAGTACGGTAAGAGAAAAAATTATAAGTGAATTAAAAAAAATATAGTCGATATCTAAACAGTCACCGAAAAATCCAAACATTCTCCAGACGACGGGTACAACGTCGTTTATTACTAGGTATAGCCAGTACGACCGTCGTTCTTTTAACGGCCAGCATTCGGATTTCGAACCCACTCATTTTCCCAAACATCACTATTATTGATACATTATTACGTACATATTAATACCTATGCACAGGTACCTATATAATATATTTCAACGAGGATTCGTATTTCGAATTGTATTTGTGCCCGTTTTATACTTTAAGGCATAGATTCTTAACCTTTTCTGGGCCATGGACACCTTTGAAGTATAAAATATAATCACGGACCCCCCCCCCCCCAAAAAAAAAAAATATAAATAAATAAATAGGTAAATAAAATTTTTATTTTAATATTTAATTTTTTTTTGAATGATAAATCGAAGACTTAATACTACCTACATTAAATTATTGTGAATTATCACTTTTTCTTATAGCCAAAAACCAATTTTAATGTGACATTTGTTATTGTTTTGATTGCAATACTGCCTTGAAATCTGGGACCGTATTGGACAGAGCAACACGCATATCTTCCTTAATGTCCAATCGATTTCTTGCTTTATTTTAATTGTGACCATTGTAGAAAATCCAGACTCACAGAGATAAGTAGTAGGAAATGGAATCAAAAATGTCATTGCCATGGATACAGCTCGCGGATAAGCCTTCGTCAACGAACATCAAATTTCGATTAAATTGTTTGTTTGAAAATCGTGGAGTGCCATTTCTTTTGATCTTAAATCAATTAATTCGTCTTTAACGAGGTCTGAATCATTAATTGTATTTAATTCCGCTAGAAAAGGATTGCGTATCCATCTTGTTTCTGATTTCGAAAATGTAGAATTGAAATAATTTAATGAAATTTAAACCAAATGAATTTTCAAGCACAACAAGATTGTTGCTTAGTGGCAGAATGCGGGCAAGACATTATTATTTATTAATGTTATCTTAAAAACGCTATCGAAACCAATTTATTTTTTGGTTATCTAAAAAAAATCACAGTCATCCCGTGGACCCCCGAGTAACCATCTACGGACCCTCGGTGAAGAACCTATGCTTTAAGGTAAACTAGCTAAAGTCGGGTGATTGTAAACTCGGCCCGGGATTTTAACAGGTACCTAAATATAATTTATGTGTTATGCGCCGACTTGCATTTCATTAGGTGGGTCAAAGTATAAAAATTAGTCTATCGCATCATAGTCTACTGATCAGCTGACGCGTAGCTGTTACATTCCTTACGCGGGGTCCTACGTAGAGAACTCAACGCGGCGAAAATCAAAAATGCTTGTATTACACTGCATTGAGAGGAACAGCATGGTCAGAATAGGGTTAGCCGTGGCGACGCGTCACTCAAGTAGGACCACCTGACACCCACCACCCTAATTAAAATTATTAAATACAGGGGCGAACCGCACCATAAAAGTACGTTTTCGGCGCCACTGGTCGGTACCTAAATAAATAGGTACATACTACACAGTTAAATTATGAAATTATACAATACATATTTACATGCACTTTTCACTATATGTATAACTTATAAGTTATAAGTAACACGAACTACGGAGTAGGTACATAATTGAATTGGTGACCATTTAATATATTTATTTTAATTACCTACCTACTGGCAACCGGCTACCACCTGGGTCACAGTTATTAGTGTAAATTTTATTTTTTTAAATAATAACGAAATTGTTTATTGTATTTATTTTTTTTTAACATTTTTTTTAAATTATGTTTTTGGGCTGGGTAGGTACAGATATTTTTATTTTCTAACCGATTTTACGTAATGCTTGTTTATCACTAGAAAAACGAATAAAATGTAAAATTACTTAATTCTCGCTAGGTATATATATGTATATACCTATTATACAGTTAATGGTTACTTATTTATACATATTTATGATTTCTTCGAAGTGGAAAAAATCGAGTAGCGTTCTGTTTATGTCACACAATAATCACTTTATATAAAACTTTGAATTATTTTAATGATATTTCAACATACCTGTACATTCTTTAATAGTTTTATACTCAAAGCTATTAAAATAAAATATAAAATATACCTACACGGCTACACATCACTAAAAATATGTATTTTATTCTTTATAAATATTTTGATACAAAATTTTAGAAATTCATCTTATGCAGTATTCTATTGCTTCCTATTGCATAGCAGTGCTTTAGTTGTTTAGGTTATTACTTATTACACATTTGTGTTAACCAAATTATTAAATCAAGAAATATTTATTTATAGATTAATTAACTAATTAATTAATTAAATTTTCAATTCTCTATGAATAATATTTTTCAAACTTTGAGTTACAACATAACACCTAACCATAATCATATTTTAAACATCCAATCTTGTAAAAATTAGATATTCAAATGTCTAAAAAAATATTAAGGATCTATTTTATATTTAGATAGTATAAGAATAATATGATATCAACTTATGAAGAACCTAGTATACATTGTCTAACTTTGAAGCTATACAAATTTAATATTTACCTACAAAATAATTTACAAATGACAAATCTAGAAAAAAATTGAACTGTCTTCAAAAATAAACTGTACCCACGTATTAATTTTCAAATTTAATACAAATTTATTTTTCATTTTGAAATGGAGATCATGAAAGCCTGCGTAAATATTACTTCTTCTAAACAGTATGTACTAGAATACTAGGTTTAATTAATAATTATTATTTTATAATGATAAATTATTATAATAATAATAGTAACAGCTAACATCATCATAATTACCAAGGCTTCTAATCAATTTCGGGAATGCAGTCAGACACACTTATAGTTGCACTCAATTATCAATGCAGCATCAGCAAATAACAAAACAATTCAATCATCGATAAAAACATTGGTTTTATTTGGATTACAAATAAATAATAACGTATAATGCTCATGTTAAAATAATATTATGGATAAAACATATTAAATTAATACATTATATTAACAAAATATATGTTTAGAACATTACAATTGTTTACCGTCTACTTGTATATTATATAATATGTATGTATTCGTAATATACACATTAATATTAAGCACATTTATATATGTATTTAACAGTAAGCTTTGGGTTACATAATGTACAGATATATATTGTTCTCTTGCATTCCTTGTATATATACACACATATACACACACACACATACATACATATACAAACATCAAATACGTTTATACATATAAACTCGTTAAAAAAATATAAATAAATAAGAGGAATAAATAAAATAAACAATATTATACATTACTATAAAATATTAAGCTATGCATACTACCTAATTTTAATGTAACATATTGATGTAATAATAAGCACTTTGAACACACGAGCTTGTTGTTGGATAACAAACACGAAAAGTCCATTGTGCATTGTATAAATAGTGTTAAGTAATAATATTATTCCTTGTTTGATAACTTGTTAGAAATTAAAACATTGATCGAACTGGATAGACTTGATCAACAGATAGTTGACATAATATTATTAATTGTAAACAAATCATTATTTAGCTCATTTAAAAATTAGTGTTCAACTACATATACAATAAACTGTATTCTAGTATTATTTTTGGAAATTAAGCGTTTAATAAATATTGACGTGGAATATATAAGAAAAAGGAACTTTAATAGATTTACTATGTAAATCGACACCATTTTTGAATTGTGTGTGGTCTATTATATAATATTGGACATAACTTTATTGAATTTGATTATACAATGTGTGCATCAGTGTGTAAAGAGTTCTATTTACAAACAGAAAATGATTAAAATCATTTTATAGTAAATTTGAAAAACTAATTGAGCGAAATTGAGCATTTTCACTTTATAACCAATGACCGTAAATACAAATTTGATTTATTGAAGTCCAACAACAAAGCGATGTGGAAACAAATATATGGAAATTATGGAACTTTGATGATGAATATTACATAACAAAAATTATGCAAACCACTGCAGCTGCATAATTTGAAAACATTTTATTCTTGATCAACATTAAAATGTATTATGTTTAACACACTAAGTTAATTATTAAGCAGTTGGATAATTGATATATTTTTTATGCACGTTAAAATTTGGAAATTAAATTCACAAATTAAACATAATGCAAGCCATTAAGAATATTAAATTAGTTGTTTATTACAATATTATATCAAATAGTGCATTTATAATCTTCTAATAAAATATACTAATAATATTATAATTATTATTAACTAATATTATTACACACACAGCAATTCTTTAAGATCATTAATCATCATTTTATCTAATGAAATATAAATAAATATTATACTTTATTGTGTATAATTATAAAATTGGTATTATTTGGCACTAAAATGTATACGTTGTTTGGAAAATATAGGAATACGAGTAGCAAATTCATTAATTTATTATACAAATGCATTATCTTTTGAAATTTATATTGATAACTTGTGACTATGATTTATATTTTATATTATTATATAGGTATATTATATACATTATACAATGCAATATTCCTATGGAAAACTCCAAAGTATAATATAATATATTCAGTAATAATTTAATATATATGAATATATAATTACATCGATAGAAAGATTAGCAAATAGATTTAACTATTGAAAAAATAATTTATTTAGTCAACTATTCAGTTTCAAATAGACTATAGTTCATCATCTGATATAGATTGCGCAGTAAATAGAATTGTTGGATACAACCAAACAAAGTATTTCAATTTATCTCAAAAGCACACACCCAAATAAAATAAAAATGAGCTAATGAAACTTTCAAAATATTGGTAGATTAAGAACAAGGAATGTTAGTTAAAATTAATGATTAAAATTATTTTAAATTATTCACTAAGCACAAGTCTCTTCAGCCCAACCGTCGCTGTCATATTCGCTGCCCGATGCAGAATCAGAATCAGAAATTTCAACAGCTACACGACGTGCCAATATTGAAGCAACATCGTGTAATGCATTGCTACGTTCTCCTTCTTTTTGTTTTATTTTTTCTACTTTTCTCAGCTCAACACCTTAACACAAATAATATATATTTTTTAATTCATAAGACGTATTTTAACTATTCATTGATACAATACAATATGTGTATAAATCAATATCTTACCATCTCTAATAGCCTTTAGCAAATCACTACGTGGATCATAATGAGCAACATGGCCTGGCCCAGGTGTTTTTTTCAAGGTCATCGTACCGCTACTGATATTGGTTACAGTTGTTTTTAAATCATTAATGATACCATTTAACGGTCTCACGTTATTACAGTCGGCAGGAAGCACCAATGGTTTCGATTGAATTATTAGATTAGATGGAGATTTCTACATAAATTAAAAAAATATTAAATAATATAATTAACTAACCTAACATACAACTGTTAAACAATGTTTAAGTACTTACTTGTTTTGGTGGTGATTTTACATCTCCATTGGCTAATGATGCTGGTAGATCAGGCATTGGTGGTAATGGCGGAGGAGGTGGAATGTTTGCTGATGGTAATGGAGGACTAATAGATACAGGTGGTGGAGGTGGTGGTAAAGGTTCAGTAAAAGGTAAGTTGTTTTCAATTGGAGGAGGTGGCGGAGGAGGTAATGTTTCACGGTTGGAACTCAAACTGCGACCACGAGTTGGAGTGCTGGCTGATGATACAGTGGGTGTACTAAATAGAAAAATAATGTTACTTTAATATTAGTAAAAATAATAATCTAAAATTATGACCAGTCAAAACTGTATCTCATTTACCTGTTATTTGAATTATTATTGCTTGGAGGAGCAGGGGGTGGTTGAGATGGTCTAATTCTACCTCCCCGACTAGGTGTACCTAATGGACTAATTACTTCACCCATACTGCCTGTGTACTGGTAATTATTTTGTTGCGTTTGATGATTGTATACATTAGATTCATCATACATCATATTATTGCTACTGAGTGGTGCAGCATAGTTATTGCTAAGACATACAAAAACTCAATGAAAACTAATTAAAACAGTACCTACATCATAATGTTAATTTTAAAAATATGTTAATTTACCTATCAATTATATTCATAGGGGGTGGACTATAAATACGTCCATCTACCATGTTATTTCCAGTATGATGATTATGAAGTTGCTCTGGACCATAGGATCGACGTAATTCTATACTATTTGGTCGCGATGGTCGGTGTTGATCGTTCATTGTCAAGCCCAACATCATTGTACTTTCTTCCATATATTCATAAGGCTAAGCAAAATGTAAGCAATTAAAAATTATAAACTACATAATATTTTATAATATGTTGAGTTCTAATAGATATTGATAAGCAATGTAGAGTACATTTTTAAATATTGACATCAGACATTGAAAATAAAATATATATTTCTTAAATTATTTTAAATTAAAAAAAAGGAATACCTGATGTGGTGCTCTATAATGAGAGTTATCTTGAGGCATAATATATTCTCCGTGCTGAGTAGCAAGTTGTCTTTGCCGTTCCCTCGTACTATATGGTTGTCGGACTCTTTTTTTATGACGACCACCACTTCCTTCTGCTTTAGGTCTATGAGGCTAATGAATTGGAAAAAAAAGTTTATTAATGGAGTTTATAATGTAATACATTAGAAAGAATAACCAAAATTTAAGAAAATACTTTTTTTCCACGATCATGCATCATTTTTTCTGTGTCTTTTAGCATTTCTAACCTCCATAGATTGAAAAAGTAATCTGGATCAGTATAGAACTTCATACCATCCTTACCATCCTCTCTATATAAACAAAAACACAATTATACTTCATGTTCAGTATTTTTTCATTTTATCTTTTTAATTACCGGTAGGGGTTAAGTTTATAAAGAGGAGGTGGCTTATCACATTGAGAATACATTTCAAGCATTGGTGCAGGCATTGTATCTCTTGAAAGAACTTGTTGATCGAATACAATAGCACTTTTAAAAGCTTTTCTCATATGAATGTCTTGTAAGGATACTAAATCAACAATATACACAATATATATATAACAATATATATAACAAGAATGAATTTAAATTAAATTAAATAAATGTAAATTACCTTCTTCACCAGTACTATCTAATTGTTTTGTGTTAACAGATAATCTGTCTAACCTAATTTGTAATGAGTTAACTCGTACAGTAAGTGAATGGGCTTCACGTACAAGTTCACCAAACATATCTTCAGCTTGTTTAGATAGACTTGATAACTGACGGACTGTATTAGCAAGGGTGCCATTTGTGACAGCTTCTAACTCATTTGATATTGAACTTGAAGCACCATAACTTCCTGCTTGTGAGACTGTGTTACGTGCTACATGCACGGGTTCTACAACACGCTTTGGCAATGGCATAGTTTATGTATGCTGAAAAATAAAGACAATGAAATTATGAAGATTTTAATTATTTTTACAAATAGATAATAAATAAAAAGGATAGATTATGATTAAAAGGAGCTAGTAGAAAGAGAGCTTGTGAAAGAGATTATTCATCAAAATAAAAATGTTTAAAAAAGGAGGTACCTATTTCCTATTTATGTACCTAATAATGAATATCAATATACCTAATATGTATGAATTATATGTATTGCTAAGTACATATAAATAGTAAATAAGTAACTCTATAAATATTATAAATATATTAATTAATTATAATAAATTATCCAAAAGTTTCAGTTTATTACCTAACTATAAAATAAATATATTAAAACTGAATAAAGTAAACAGTATTATACTATTATGGGTATATTTTATTTTGTTGGATTATAATATTATAATACATCTGCTGTAGTGCTGTCTTCTTGCTGAAAATTTATAATTTCATGCTCCCCATGTTTTTAATCAATTACAATTAGATAGGTACTATATAGTTGCTTGTTATTATGACATTGCTTAACAAGTGATGAGGGTCAATTTAACATTAATTTGGTACATTGATACACATAGGATAGGGGGCATGTTGAAATACATTTATTACATTTAAAATCCACATAAATTACATTTTAAAACATATATAATACGTCACCCCTTTACTATTTCCTACCTTATTATTATATTCATAGTAAATATGGATAAATGTAATTGATAAACTACCTATAGGTACCTATTAAAATTTAGATTTCCAAATGTTATTCTCATTATTACCAAAATCATTACTATATTAGGTACCTATCTAATAGTTATTTTGTTTGATTAATATGTATTTAAATGCATATACTTTATCATGAATATTTCCATAAGACTATAAGAGTATAAGAGAGACGAATTCTCTGAGCATATTTCTCTGCTGCCTTATTACTCTCATACAAAAGAAATAGTATAACACTGATCTGTACAGGCATAGGTATGAGTTTAATCTATGTACATTATAAGAATATAATATACGATAATAGCCAATAGGTATATCAATATAAGATAAGTAATTTAATTTATGAATAGATATTTTTTTAGCTGTTCATATCTCCAGTTTTGGCAATTTCTTATGATAGTTTTTGCCAAACCTACCAACCTAAAAAAACTGAGAAGAAAAATGGGTAGTAACTTTTGATATTAATTTTAATATTTTATTCCCAAAGTACCAAAATTTATATTTTGTTCTATAAATCTACCTTGTAAAGTATTAGGTACTACAGTGTAGAATTGTTATAGGTAGTTGTTATTATCATTAAAATTAAACTATAATAAGATTTGATTTTCAAAGTCAATAAATATATAGTTTATTATTTTTAATACTTATCAATTTTATAAACCTATATTGACCTAATATTATTAGGTATCTCATTACAGCAATAAAAAATATCTTAAAATATGGAGATAATAAGGAATACCTACGACTTGCCTATATTGTTATTTTAATTATTAACACAATCACGCTGAACACAAAACCTGTGTATAATACAGTAACACAGAATAACAATAAATAAAAAAACTACATTAATTTATATATCTGTTTGATGTGGTAGGGGGTGGGAGGGCAATGATATTTTTGAGGAGTTCTTAACTACAAGTCTAATTAATCATCTTAATTCTTAACATTTCAAAATATTAATAGTTCATTAAACACAAAAGTAGATATTACAGGTACCCACCATAATTTTAGTAACTTTAATAATACCTACCTAAATTTAACAGACTAGGTATGCATTAAAAAGCTTGATTTACACCAACAATTATTTATTATGAACTATAGTAATTAAAAATTATAGTTCATAACAAATAACTAATATATTAAAAATTTAGTAAAAAACAAAAAATGCAGTTACTTATCCAAACCTTGTAATATGGAGCTACCGAGAAGCTAGCTACCAAGAAATGACCTTATTCAATAATGTAACATTGTAACCTATACAAACGATAAGCCTTAAAACTATTCATCCATATTAATTTATTTTAAAAACTGATGATTAATGACTGATAATAATTTAACAATATTTATCATAATAAGGTAATAGCTATTACCCATAATATGCAATATTCTCTACATAACTATACAAAAACCGTTTAATTTTCCAAATAATTTAAATCAACTTGTTCATATAATAACCGTACTGTCTATTAAATACAATAGAATAATAACTATGAGAATCATTTTGTTGATAAAAAGCAGATTAATTTATTCTATTTAGTATTTAGTCATAATGCATATCAGCTACATACTTTTACTGATAAGCATGACACACAGTATCTAAGTATATATTAAAAACTAAAATAAGATCATACGTCATCTTTAGCCAATGATTTTGAGTTATTGTCAAATTATGTGTATGAATATCAGTAGTAAAGACAAATTAAATCATAAATTAATTAATAACCAATAAAACTGAAATTGCTATTAATCAAAAATGTTTATAACGGGCGTTTCCCGTATTATAAATACAAAAGTTATGCTACAAAGTACAAAGACCTCTAAATGACAGCTAATGTTATAAGTTTTTTGAATAATAACAAATTTTTGAAAACATCTATGTTGTAGCCGATGACATCAGAGTTTTGTAAGCAAAACATTGATAAAATATACAAACATCCAGTGGAAAGATTCTAACAACATAGGTAGGTCAGATACCTAGTCAAGAACCTCGACAATACGGAATGGAAACAGATGAGAAGCAAATTAAATCGGACAACTGCATATCCCAACAGATCTGTACATAGTGTCTGGCCTCATGATACGTTATAAGCAACCTTTGAACAGTGTATGATTATGTTGTCATAGACTTGGACAGTCACGCAGCTGTCATCGATCATATACAACGGACAGTAGCTACATAATTTATAAAACACTTAAATACCTATATAAACATATATATATAAATGTTAAATTGTACATGCCGTTTCGATCATACTGCCGACGAATATACGGTAGGTAATGAGGAACAAAACTAATAATAAAAGATTTACACAAACAATGCAAGTGCTTAGTGCGACTTGTTGTCGGTGGCACGTCCACTCACCTCGGTGGTCATTTAACAGCGATCTGGCCGATCCGTTTCGGGTGACGCCAATTGTTCGGGACACTGACGTCCGTCACCGCGGGAACATCGCCATGTCGATAGGTCAGACGCATCAGACGTCGACGGCACAGTACGTGCGAGAACGAAACAGGCGGCGGAAATTCGTGGCGCGCGATAGATAAACAACACGGTAGCTCAAGGACTGGCTTGTCGAGGCGGAGAAAACGTTCGATAGTCGATACCATCGATTATCAGTCGCGGTGGAGTTGTCCACGAGCGACGGGATCGTAGTACCAACAAATGGCGTACGGTATAAAATATTATATTATATCACCGCCCTACCCGAGGTCCATGGAAGAAAAAATGCGCACTAACATATTTCGATAATAATAATATTATACTCACGATTAAAGATAATCGATCTTATCTTTAATCGTGACCACAGACCACGAATTAAGATATAATATCTATGTATAATATACATATTATTTAGATAAATTCGTGCCACTGACCAATATTATAATTTATATTTTATAGTTACTAAGCTACCTACATGGCTATCATAGACAAGAATACTAATGGCTAATACTGATGGCTATTGGCTATAGCCTATAATGATTCATGAAGACTGCCGACTGGGATAGGTTCTCTTGATTGATGATACTCGCGTGGGCCGATAAGCATACCGGGGAACTGGGTAGCCGGGAATTTCCCGGTGGGCCCCCTCCGTATTTGGGCAATGCAACCATTTTTATCTTTTTATTGTTTGGGCAACGACTTTTCGACGGATTTTTTTCGTGTAGGTGCTCTTTTTAAAATTTCCCGGTAAGCCAAAAATAGCTATAGGACCTATAGATACCTAGGTAGGTATTAACTATTAAGTACCTATCCGTATTTCGTTATTATTTATCAGTTTATCACTTATAAGTTATAACTTATAACTTATATAAAACAATAAATATTTACCTAGCTGAAAGTAGCTTAAAGTATATACTTTACAAGGTTCATAGTCCATAGATAATAGTTTATTATATTAACACTCTATAATAATAATTAATTATAGATAATACTATAATAGTATATTATCTGTAAATCTTGTATACTCTAGCAGTGGCTTACAAATTTTTATTAAACACGGAACGCCGTCAAAAAATGTTCACGACACGCACTGACCTTTTTTTTTGCACTAAACAGCTAGAAATGCTAGATGAACAAAATTGTTATGGATAATAATTATATACATTTCGTTGGAAATGTGTGCTTGATGGCCTAATCAGTGGCGTATTTACGGGGGGGGTCCAGGGGTACTGGACCCCCCCCAGAACTTCTCATAAAAAAAAAAAACACTAAAATTCTTACATAAATATTTGCAGAACCCGATTTATGTAAGCACGCGCGGTCGAGCGGAGATAGTTTTTTCCCGTGAACAAAATATAGTTTAAAATTAGTTACAACAGCTAAAACAGATAAATGTTCCTGCAGCACTCCCTAATACTGTTATATTTAGTGGTAAAGATAAGCGATCCAAAAATTTAAAATTTCAATACAGATGGTTGCATACCTTTCCGTGGTTATCGTAGGTACTCCGCAAAATTAGATGGTGCATTTTGTACGTTTTGTGTAGCGTTTGCTAAATCAGGAGCTGGCATAAATTCTCAAACACTAGGCGCTTTGGTTAGAAAACCTTTTCAAAATTGGAAACATGCAATGGAAACGTTTAAAAATCATGTAACACTTCAGTATCACAAACAATCCGTCTTTGATGCAGATCATTTCATAGATATAAAAAAAAAACGTACATTTATCTATTGAAAATCAATTAGACACTGCTCGGGCACGACAAATTTTTGAAAATAGAAAAAACTTTTCATCTGTTATTGAAACAATTATCTTATGCGGTCGACA